GAGCATTGGTGTACCCCACTGCATACTTCCTTCCATGTAGATGCAGTTCCATTGAGGACTACACGTTGAGTGCAGTTAGTCAGCCAGTTGTGAATCAATCTGGTAGTGATGCTGTCGAACTCACATTTTTCTATTTTATCAAGAAGCAGGTTATGGTCTACTTTATCAAATGCTTTATTGAAGTTCAAGTAAATTATATCAATGGCATTTCTTTGGTCCATTAATTTTATCACTTTGTCAAAGAATGCAGGAAGATTCTCGCATGATCTGTTTTTTACAAACCCATGTTGGCTTTTGGCTATTACTTTGTTTGCTTCTAGGTGTTCACTGATTTGTTGCTTGATTATCTTTTCCAGAATCTTTCCTGGTATTGGGGTCAGACTGATAGGTCTGTGATTTCCTGGATCTATTTTTCCCCTTTTTTGAAGATGGGAACTACATCAGCTCTTTTTCAGTCTTCTGGCAGTTCTCCAGTGCTCCAGGATCTTTAAAAGATATAGTTCAATGGTTCCGAGATCTCATCTGCCAGTTCCTTCAGAACCTTGGGGTGTAATCCATCCGGTCCTGGAGATTTGAACTCATCTAGGGTAGACAGGTGCTCACTTACAATTTTCTTCCCTATTTTAACTTATGGTCCTAATCTGTTTTTTGTGGTGGTGTGTTTGAAACGTTGGACTGTTTTTCCCTTTGTGTAAAGACAGATGCAAAAAACGAGTTAAGTAATTCTGCTTTCTCCCTGTTGCTTGTCACCTTCCAACCCAGCAATAGACCAATTGTTTCTTTGACTTTTTTTGTTTCTAACATGTTGTAAGAAGCTTTTTTTTGTTATTCTTTTACTTTTGTTGCAAGCCTTTGTTCATTGTGCGCCTTAGCTTTCCTCACTTCATTTTTGCATGCTTGGGTTATTAGCTGGTATTCTGTCTTAGTTATGTGGACCTCTTTCCACTTTTTATACTTGTCCTTTTTGTCTTTCAATTTGTCAGAGAATTCTTTATGTACCCATGCTGGTTTATTTTGAGAACTGTTGTTATTATTCTTCATTGCTATTGTGCTAGACTGTGCTTTTATAATTTCACTATTACTGGAGATTTATGAGAAAAATGAATTTTAATAATTGTAGAATCGGTCAACAGCATAACAAAACTGAGAGAAGTGAACAGGATCAGACTACTTTGAATACTTTCTGAGTGCACTCTATGTGTGATTTACTTAAGCCAAAAGGATAATTTTGTGATTTGGTTGATATTTGGATCGGCTAGCCTATTACATGCCAAATGAATCATAATGTTAGAGATCAAACTAGAATGTTGACGTTTGTTTTTTCATGGTAATATGGGATATTTTTCGTGCTTTTGCATGTCTTGAAGCCATTTTTTAAACAATAAAGAAACTAATTCATTAATGTTAATTTTACAGACAAAGAGAATGCTAAGAAGAGCACTGTGGACAAGAGAATGAGAAACTGCTTTAAAATGTAAAACAAGCCATCAATCAAAATCTTCCACTTCCTCCAGAGAGTGTAAAAACTTTTCTCTTTCTTCAGCTGATGAGAGACAAGAGAGAATTATAAGAGCAGAGCTTTCAGCTGGAAAAAAATAAGAGTGTCTAGAAGTCAAGGAAACATTACATGAGAAGTCAAGGAGGATAATTTCTCAGTAAACATTGGAAGCCAGTGGGAAGAAAAAGATTTCGGGGGTAGCCAAAACTGGAAGGCATTAATTAAAGCCTTTGAGAAAACAAAAAGTAGCTTGAATCAAAGAACCATCAGCTAAGAGATCAGAAATATTGTTGGCCTCCTCAAGAATCCAATAATATCAGTGTTGGAAAATCCCTGCAGACTGCCTAGTTTTGGAAAAACACAGATTCAGATCACATCTGATTGATGCATAAATTGAACTACCCCATGAAAATCCATTCAAACGTTTGTGGTATGTCAAAAGCTTTACTTAGAACAGGTCCCTCATGATTCATGGAAGGACCCACCCCGAAGAGAAACTCTACCCTGTTTCTCCGTAAATAAGAGGCCAATTGGGCTTTTGAGTGCATACGCTAAAATAAGCCCTCCCCAAAAATATTGAGGTGACCACGCTTGCCACCTCCTGAACCTCAAAAATAATAAGACCTCTCCAAAAATTAGGCCACGTGCTTATTTTGGGGGTCAAAAGAAAATAAGACCCTGTTGTATTTTCAGTGAAACACGGTACCAGTGCTCCCATTGTGACAAAAGATTTACCATGCACACCAATCTGGCGATACACAAGAGGACTCACAATGGGGGACAACCATATGAGTGTCTGGATTGTGGGAAACTTTTTCTGCATAATTCCAAGCTGGTGATACACCAGAGAACTCACACAGGAGAGAAACCATATCCGTGTCCAGATTGTGGGAAAATGTTCAGTCAGAATTCCTACCTGGTGAGACACCGGAGGACTCACACAGGAGAAAAACCATATGAGTGTCCAGACTGTGGGAAAAGTTTCAGTCGGAATTCCCACCTGGTGGAACATCAGATGACTCACACAGGAGAAAAACCATATCCATGTCCAGATTGTGGGAAATGTTTCCAGCAGAATTCCAAGTTGATGCTACACCAGAGGACTCACACAGGAGAGAAACCATATGAGTGTCCAGACTGTGGGAAATGTTTCAAGGAGAATTCCAAACTTGTGATACACCAGAGGAGTCATACAGGAGAGAAACCGTTTGAGTGTCCCGATTGTGGGAAATGTTTCAGTCAGAATTCCTACCTGGTGATACACCAGAGGATTCATACAGGAGAGATACCATTTGAGTGTGTGGAATGTGGGAAAGTTTTTAGTAGGAATTCTAAACTGCTCATGCACCAAAGGACTCACACGGGAGAGAAATCATTTGAATGTCCTGATTGTGGAAAAGGTTTCAATTGCAATTCTGACCTTGTGGTACACCAGAGGATTCACACAGGAGAAAAACCGTATGAGTGTCTCGAGTGTGGGAAAACTTTCATTCAAAATTCCCACCTTGTGGAACACCGCAAGACTCACACAGGAGAGAAACCATATAAGTGTCCAATTTGTGGGAAAGGTTTCTATCGGAATTCCCATGTGATAGTACACCAGAGGTCTCACTCGGGAGAGAAACCATATGAGTGTCTGTTTTGTGGGAAAGCTTTCAGTCAGAATTCCTATCTGGTTAATCACCAGAGAATTCATACAGGAGAAAAACCATACGAGTGTCCTCAATGTGGAAAAAGATTCAGTCGGAATTCCGACTTGATGATACACTGGAGGACTCACACAGGAGAAAAACCTTATGAGTGTCCAGATTGTGGGAAAGCTTTCAGTATCAGGTCTAGCCTTATAAATCATGTAAGGTTACACACAGGGGAAAAACCGTTCAAGTGTCCAGATTGTGAGAAGTGTTTCACACAAAATTCCTCTCTGATTGCCCACAGGAAATTCCATCTGAAGCAAATGTGTATAGTAGAGGAATCTTGACTTTCATTTCTTTTCTCTCTTTGGAAGCCCAGTTGAGAAATTATCCATTAAATTTCTTGCCTTATTATTTTTAATCAAACTTGTCTTAGTAACAAACATGAGGGAGGAGGTCTGAGCTTCCTTTCTCTGGAGTTGTGTGGTTGTTCCCTTTTACAGTGTTGAGGGGAATTGCCATGCTAGGCCAAAGTTGAGGTGCTTAGATCTTATTAGGTATGTTTGTCACCTTGAGTTATTTCTACTTATAATAAAGGTAGGATATAGATATGTATGCATGTATGTATGTATTTTTATTTATTAAGAAATTGTGCATGGCAGCCCAGCGTGACTCCATTGCTGGCTTAGAGCAATGAAATCTTAATACAGAAACCAATGAACCATATATATAGCCAATAGCAAAATACAAAAACTTCACATTTGCCATACTCCCACACCATTCCATTCCCCACCATCCAGTCAGGGCTGGAGAAGCTTCTGGAATGAGAAGTGAAACGTCTCCAAAGAAAAGACAAAATCCAGTTGCCTCTTGAAAAAGCATCTTGGGGATAACCATGAGCTGGATGCCTGAGGATCTCCATAGTCTTTTAATTATCTTTCCATTTGTCTCTATTCAGCACCTCTACATTTCTCTAATCCTAATCTCCATGTGTACCTAGTGCTATGATCTCCCTCTCTCTCCTCCTATCCTCTAGTTAGTAGCTATCTCCATCCATTTCCTATAATGTTTGGTGTATCTTGTATTTCCTCTCTTATCTGCTCCAGCATTAGCAATAGCACTTAGACTTATATACCGCTTCACAATGCTTTACAGCTCTCAGTAAGTGATTTACTGAGTCGGCATATTGCTCCCAACAATCTGGGTCTCATTTTACCCACCTCGGAAGGGTGGAAGACTGAGTCAACCTTGAACCTGGCGAAGAACTATAGAATTTCCCTATTCTGCACAGATGTGAGCAATGTGGAAAGGAAATGTTCGCTTGGATTTCTCTGAGGAATGGACTTCAGCCAGGATCCCTTTTTAAGATGGTTTTCTTCTGGTTAGTTGAGAGGACACAATTCCCAAACAGGAATATGTATAAGAATTACTTGATAGAAAAAAGAAGGGAAGATATAAGTCTGAGGTATTTTTCCCAATTTCTTGTTTATTGCTTATATTCTATTGTTTTTATGTGTTTTGAATATTAAATTTCTAATTAAAAATGAGTGTGAAGCAAAAACATTTTTGTGTGCACATGCATACTACCATTCCTTTTAAAATGCTTTCAAACATTTCTTTGAAAAGTGTTAATTTTGTTTACCAAATATAGACAGCCCCTTTCTGAGCTCCCTTTTTCTGTGTAATTCTGTCTCATTCACTTTGACTTAATGGAGATTTCCATGATAGGGAAATTACAGAAGCACATGGCAATTTGCAGACTTAAAATCCTACATGCAGCCCTGGCCAGGAGTGAAGCTTGAAGCCTTTGGCCTGCTGGTTCTTCCATGTCCGAAATCCTTGGGAGCCAAAGGAAATCAGTCATAAAATTTTGCTATGTGGAGAGGTTTTGAGGACAACTGAGTCAACAACTTAAAAAAAGGACACTTTAGATCAGCTTTCTACAAGCTATCAAACTCCAAATATTTTGCCCAAGCTGCCTAGAAATATTTAATAGTGGAATCTTAATTGCTCTGGAAATTGGGAAGGCTGCTCAAAGGAATTCTGCCTTCTAGTTAGATTTATGCCCTGCAAGAATGCAGATGAAAAAGTAATAATCTCCTCTCTGGATATGTTTGGAAGCAATGTTGGTGGGCCCTTCAAGGTTTTGTCCCATATTTCATTGTATTAGTGGGATGAAGCTGGCAATTGTTTAAGGCTGCACATACAAACAAGACCTTTATCAACTATGATGCAGCACCTGGCTAATCTTGTGAAGGTACCAGTAAGTAGGGTCAAGCTATACTCTTCAAGCTTCCCTCGGTTGCAAAGGTAGTTTTGGGGAGTTATCCAATACCCCCAGATGAACTGGCTGGAATAATCTCCACTGATCCCCACTGATTCTTGCCTGACGGCACATTGTGCTCCCCCCCCCCCCGCCGCCCATGCTTTCCCTTGGTTTAGTTCCTGAGCTCTGGCTCAGTTGCAGTGAGGATGAGGGGCGTCCCTACGAGTCCCCAAAGGACAGACTAGGGGTAGATCCTTCCATTCAACAGCTTAACTATTACACATTTGATCACTTGCCAAGGGAGCTTTCAAAGAGTTCTGCACAAAATCATCTCAGGCTAAAAACTGGCTGGAACAATCTTCATCAGTCCCCAAGGGACGTGGGTGGGTTCCTGCCAGTTCTAACCTCCTACAGTGCCATTTAGAACTGGTTCCAGCTCCCTCACCCCACCCGTCTGCACCACGCTTGCCCCGCCCACCGCTCACTGATTGGCTGGCTCCCCAATTGCCCCCCCCGCCTCTAAACTTTAAAGTCTTAAAGCTGTCAAGTTTGAACATCCCTGGGTTGTTTTTTTTTCTAAAGGGTTAGGGGTGCAAGGGTCTTGTAACGTGACAGCTTTAAGACTTTAAAGTTTAGAGGCGGGGGGGGCAATTGGTGGGCCAGCCCATCAGTGAGCGGTGGGCGGGGCGAGCGGGGGGCAGACGGGTGGGGGGAGGG